GGAGTGAGTGTGGCACAGGCACTTGGCATGGCCAAAGGTGTAACCTGTTCTTTTGTGCGTGGCACTGCTTCTCCAGATGGAGGACCAGCTGCCCTGAGCATGCTCTGAGTGCCCAACGTGCTGCTGCCATTGTTCAGAGGTCACTGTTATCGTTGTACACAATATCAGGTTTTCATTTGAATAAATCTGAACAGAAATATACTTTATTCCTTTATTGCATCTTATCAAATACCTTCATCCCAGGGTGAATGTCAGTGTTGCAGTGCACATTAGAGAACTGTAGGAATAATGGGAGTGCTCAAATCGAGATAAAATCAATAAAAACACAATGTCAATATTCAACAATCTTCAGGCTGTTTGGATGTTTTATATTGCATTAGAGTTGAACTTGAACAAGACTGTGGCTGCTTTGTGTGGGACAAGCGCTGCAGCCTGTTCTGTTCAAACATGAGGAGGGGAGGGATCGGGTCCTTTTGGCTGGATTAAGACGTCCAGGGTGGGCCGGAGAAGGTAAAGTGACCCTTCCCGCCCCGTGTGACCCCGGGGCCCACCGCGCATGGCTGAGGCTCTGCTCTTTGCTCTTGAATATGCATCACAGGCTCAGCAGAGGGAAAAAGAGCTGTATCGCGTTGCAAGCAAAATGAGCAAGAGCAAAGTTGGGGTTTGTGTGTCAGGGGCTACGAACAATGGCAGCTTTCTGTCAGACAGCGACTTCAAAGCCAGGCTGAGTGACGCTCTGAGTTATACTTTGTTGTAGATCACTGAGGAAATTCACAGATGTTTTCTCATACGAGACACCATTATAGCGGCTCAAGTACCCAGTAGCCCGGAGCGCCTCTCTCCCACACTCTCCCTCTGCCCTGCCCCTCCTCTCCTCCGCCCTCCTCTGCCTCTCTGCTCTGATATAGCTGCGATGAGACAGATGTGGAACCTGTTTTCTCGCCAACTGTCCAGAGAAGTTGAAAAGGCAGCACAATGTGGCACTAGCCTGTCTGTCAGCTCTGTTGCTTGCCCTGACAGTTTGCAACAGGAGTCTCAGAATGTCAGAATGATGTGCTTCAGTCTTCAGACCCTTTTCAGGTCAATGGGACCACAACTATATGTTGAGCTGTTTGGGTGAATGACCAAACTTAATGCCCATGATTACATCTGTATTTTCTTCTGCTTTCAGGTCAGCCTCACTGAGTTTGAGCCAGATTACCACATGATCAAAACAGGGGAAGCTACTCAACGGACCTGCTGTATGATTCTAATTCATTTGAGCCAATTCATTATTACTACACTATGGAACTATGTGCACATACTGTAAGAGGAAAAACAAACTTCAGAATTTTGATTATTTAAGAGTAAATGAAGTTAGCCAAGTAATTCCTTTTGAGAATTGTTTCGGATTTTAGTACTTTTTTTTAAAGATGTAAAAGATTAAAGTAAGATTACATGACTCCTGGTTATTTCAGTTCATTTTTTGGTCACAGAAATGATGCAGCATAACGGACTGCACTTTTTTGAAACTTGGTTCCATAATCGTATTTCTGATTAGAATAACAAATAGAGCACATGCAGCACAGTCTGTGTTGAGCATTTAGTGACGGCAGGAAGAGAACTCGGGGGTCCTCCGACCCAATTTTCTCCACAAACGTTCAAGGAAAAGTGTATTTGGGCACATAATGGAAGAAGCCCTTTGGAACCGGAGGCATATAGCCAGAAGTCAGTGAAGATTTGGAGCCCAGAAATTACCTAAGGGAGCTGCTTTGTCAACTCACTGTCATCAATTTGTACCAACTATATCAAAGTCCTGTGCGGTTAGACCTGTGCTCCATGAATCCCATTCACATTCAAATGCACCAATTTACTCACGTGACCGAGCCAGAATCTCACATCACTCAGAGCATTCACATGGGCCCCAGGAACGCCAGAAAATTGGCCAGTCCAATATCACATCTATTGTTCAATAAGCATGTATCTAGCATATCGAATAGTTGCACACAAATTGATGAAGACTGGGAGCAGACCAGACTCCATGTAAGTCATGGAGTAAGAAATAGCCTGGAGTTTATTGGACTTATCAATTAATGTCCTTCCACAGCAACCCAAAAACAATTCCACAGGTTGTTTTGTTTTATTTTTACTGTAGAGAGCAAATACTTGGATCAAATGTACTCTTTGGCCTAACTATAAACCGGGGCAAGAGTGGGTTTGGAGGGAAAAGACATCAACGTCTCCAAAACAAGTGTGTGTATTTTTCTACAGTGGCTGTAAGAGGGGTCGGCCCGATGCCTTTACTTTTGCCATCACGGTTGTGTCTCCAGGATTCATTATTTTGTAGTGTGGAGGTCCCTCAGCAGAGGAAACCTTCCAAAGTTGATCCTACTGTATATCAGTGATGGAAAGTAAAGGCACACAGCTGACCCAAATACACGCATGAATTGGATGTTGTTCAATACAGGGTCAAATATGCAAAACAAAACATTTCTTTTTTCTGAAGAATGACGACAGGCAGCAGCGACCACACCTGATTTTGGAGTTCTTCCAGATTCAACAAAAGTGGACGAATCTTTTAAATGATGTATTCTGTGTCAATGTGCATCAGATCAGAGACGTCAGCACTTGAGATATTAATGACACAAGCTTAAGATATAGATACAAGTAACAATGTGGGTCAGAACAAATAAGTTCAGTTATTCAGATAATGTTTTAGCAGTAATACAGATGGTCCACAGTAAAAAACAATAGGTCCAATTCCTTCCTTTTTACCTAAAAAGATGCCTAGTGCACCTTTTAAGCTGTTGTAAATACAGCACTATTTATATTGGCCGTGAGTGTGGTCCTTAGTCGGTCAAGTTAGGATTTCCCTGTGGTTTAGATCTTTGCCAAAAATGGAAATACTCAAACTACTTTACAGGCTTTACTGTCTCTGACAGAGCAGCCACCCTCCTGTGGACAACCTGCAAGATGAACAGTGAGGGCTGGTGCTCTGTGAATTGGGTGCAGCTGACTGCCCCCGACCCAGAAATGAATTAAGGGGGAAAAAATGGATGGATGGATGGATAGAAAGACCTAGAAAATAGTCATCTTAATTTTTGACTTGTGCATTAAAGAGGAGGACTTTGTCCTTTCTCGAAAACAATGAGTGTAGGATAAATAACTACCAATGACAGACCGCATGTGTCTTCATCTCTGGATCGAGGACGTAGGGTCTATGTGACGGATCGCCATTGTTGGAAAAAGTTCATTCTCAGGCTTTAAATTACTCTGTACTGGCGAAAGCTGAACTTTTAGCTTTTACGTTGATTAATTTACTTCCTAGTTAGCGTGAGGCTGCGTCAGTGCGGGTTGTAGGAGGCGGCTCTCAGGGAAAAGAGCACAGATCCAGCCGTTTCAATGAAGATGACATCACCTCGAAATGGTTATAATCTCACATATTTTGAGTGTTGTGTGGTGTATCACTCACATTATTATCACACGTGCTTAGGGTGGACAGAAACACGAAGAAGAGCCATATATGGGACCTTTAATTAGATGCCAACAATAAACAAGGTTCATTGGCCGCACGTTTTATCAGCCTATGTCAGTGGTGTGTTGTTTGTGAACGCACCGCAGAGAGGAGCAGGACCCTCCAGCCCCCCATCCACTCTCCTCTCCCTTCTGACTGTGTAAAGCCGTGGGAGAGGACTGGGAACATTAATCCCTTCAAAGGAACACATCTAATTCAAAATCTGCCGCTGCAAACTAGTGGAGGGGACACTGATTGTTTCTGTGGGGATGCCAGATAAGATCAGAGCGCCTAACTGTAGCACCCATTTGTAAGGCACAAGTGACACCCACACCAGCACTAACTTTTAGATGATTTCAGTCCCTTTTTGCCGTTTAATAGATTGTTGCTTTGTCTTCAGTCACATGTTGTACACTGCGTTGTGTTCTGATAACGATTTGTGGGAATGGAAGGAAAAGTTTGACCTACTTCAACTTAACTATATTTACAAGAAGTATTATTGTTTTAATTGAATTCAATAAGTTTAGTCCATAAGGGTCAAACAAATAATCAATACAAATGTTAAGTCTGTAAGACAATCTACCAAATCCGACCTTCTTTGTCACCAGACCTTACTTATATTAACAACATAACACAGGTGAGAGAATCTTTTTTTTACCCCATGAAGAAATGACAAAAGTAATCAAATTCTCCTGTTTAAAAAGAAGACGCCAGATTTATCTCCCCTATAAGCTCTACAAAGTCACAGAAGCTTGGAGATTATGATAAAAACAAATGTGAAATAATTCAGAGGCACATAATGAAGTGTTTAAAGTCGTGTTCAGCTCAAAAGCTCTACAAAGCTCGAGATTTCACATCACAAACGACGAAGAGAAGCTTGATTGTCCAGAGATGTGAAGTTTGTGTCGAGTCACTTGGAGTTGCCTGCATCGCTCTTGGAGATCTCCCCGTGCTGATAACAATGTCACATTGTCACATAAGGCTCCGCTACAAATCCTTAATTACAAAAAGAGGATCAGATGACTACAGCGGCCAATAGCAGGGTCTCCAGGCGGCAGGGGCGTCTTTGATCAAGAAAATCCAATTATTTGTGTATATACATTTCCCACATAGTGATTACTTCATTAATTGTCCCGCCTTTATCTCCTCCCCTCCCATCCCCCCTAATAATCAGCCCCTTTATCCAGAGCAACAAACACACCATAGGAGCTTTGTGGATTCAAAGGATTTGCTTTCCCCTCTCAAAGAGCCGCTATTCTTTGATGATTGGGCAGCGGCAAACTTCAAAGTCATAAATCTTATTTCTGACTGGCTGGCGGCCCACCAAAGTCCTTATCAAATTCTAAGAAGTGATCCCTCACTGCTCAGATGGTCCAAGGATATCTGGCAGAGAGGAGGCTCCGAGACGCTCCAGACCACACATTTTACAGTGAATGAGCGCGTTTGACTGATTTTTCACTTTTTATTCGCTTTTCTCCGAGCGGCAGGAAGGAGGAGGAGGAGGATCATGGCAGCAGTGGCGGTGCTCCGGAATGAAACTCTCCAGGCTTTTCTCCAGGTTTGTTCAAACTTCACCTGGCGACAAGAAACTTGGGAACTTTGACGCAATTACGCGCACGTAATGTCAGTTATCTGTGAAAATATGTGGCCGGAGTGACACGCTTAATGTGCAGGACGTGCCTCTTCACTGAAATGTCCCAACGGGATTTAAAGAGACAAATGTGTCTCTGTAGTGTTTGTAACGAGTCTACATTATGTGAGCATGTTTTATTGAGGCTACTTTTCTTGTTTTAATAGTTTGACAGGTGGATAAACAGTTGTTAAATGTGCGCATCTTACTCACTGCATGTTTTTGAAAACGTGTCTCCTCCAGATGTGTGCGCGGTGGTGTTTGACTTTGTCATAACTTTATTTAATGTTTATTGTTTCCTCGCAGGACCGCACTCCCAACTCTTCTCCGGAGAACTGTAAGCACTCCCCTCTGGCGTTGCTCGCGGCCACTTGTAACCGGATAGGGCACCACCACGGCTCCGGGCCCGCAGACTTCCTCCAGGTCCCGTACGACCCAACACTGGGCTCTCCTTCGCGCCTGTTCCACCCGTGGACTAACGAGGGCTCCGCAGCTGCGCCAAACCCCACTTTTGGACTATCCAAGCCGCAGTTGTCCTCGCACATCCAGAGCTCCTTCAGTGCCCCACATGAGCTCCCTCTCACGCCCCCGGCGGACCCCTCGTACCCCTACGACTTTTCCCCGGTCAAGATGTTGCCCTGCTCCATGCAATCCAGCTGCCCCCCTCCCACATACGTCCCTGCTGTCAGTTACGCGCCCAGTCCCATCGCCCCCGCCATGTCCAGCTTCGTCCAGCAGCAGAGACAGTTGTCCCCGAACCCGGGGGACGACATCCCGTGGTGGAGTCTGCAGCAGAGTAACCATGTGGGACACTCGCCCTCTCTGGGGCCACACCGCTTCCAGCTGCAGAGAGGCTTAGTTTTGGGACATTCGGACTTCGCACAGTATCAGACTCAGATCGCAGCGCTTCTTCACACCAAGTCTCCTCTGGCCACGGCCAGAAGGTGTCGGAGGTGCCGCTGTCCCAACTGTCAGACGTCCACGTCCAGTGACGAGCCCGGGAAGAAGAAGCAGCACATCTGCCACATCCCGGGCTGCGGGAAAGTTTACGGGAAGACCTCACATCTGAAGGCGCACCTGCGCTGGCACTCAGGGGAGAGGCCGTTTGTGTGCAACTGGCTTTTCTGTGGCAAAAGCTTCACACGCTCAGACGAGCTGCAGAGACACCTGCGCACGCACACGGGAGAGAAGCGCTTCGTGTGTCCGGACTGTTGTAAGCGCTTCATGCGCAGTGACCATTTGGCCAAACACGTTAAAACGCACCAAAACAAAAAGAGCAAATGTCACGACAAGACACTGGAACACGTGAAGAGGGAAGACCCGCGGAGTCTGCTGTAGCACACGTGGAACTGCAGAGGGTCAAGGCTTCTCAAGCTGTGGGCCTGGACCCAAAGCGGTGTTTCGAAAACTTACATGCACTTTTGACTCGTGTTAATTTCATTAAAAAAAGTATTTTCACTGTTCAAAAATCCAGGTCTGACTAAACACTTAGCAGGTGCATTCTTCAGACTAAAGAATAATGTGCATTTGGACAATCAACGTTAGACCTGTCCGCAGTTTGCTGCACCCTGCTGTGAGACAGTCAGGTACATGCTCCTGAGCAGAGGCACATCTGTAGCACTTGTGTAAATATATAAAGTCATCGAGGACCATGAGGTCTGTGTGAAGTCACTGTCTATACCATATCATGAAGACAAGTGTTTACTTGTGTTGGGATCTTAATGTCTTCGGTGGAAGATTCTCTCCTGTACATGAGATTTAATAGCTTTTGTTGAATGAAAGTGTCAGTTTTGCTCCTTTTGGGGTGTTTTTAAGCATGCTCTCGCAAAGATCTGCTATTGTTGATACGACCTAAATACTGTGTGAGAATAAAAACTATACATTTTACTTTTGAGACTAATTCATATCCTCTCAGTATTTTGTTCACATCTGTGTAGGACTGCAGTATTTTGTGGAAACAACTGCACATTTGAAAACAAATCCACATTGATTGATTATATGGCAGGTTAAGGATCATTCTCTCTTCAGCCTGATGTGCCTTTAAGTACAATGTTTTCATTGTTGTCCTAAATCTGATGTATTTGCAAACATAGGCTTACATGTTTTTGAAAATATACTCAAAAACATCCATCATAAAACAGTAATAATACATGAATAGAAACACTTACTGATAAAGTATTTGAAATATAATAATGAACCTTACATTTCTGAAATGACTTGAAATTGATAACGAACAATCAGACTTTAATCAGTTTAAAACATATATTTAGTCTATTGAGTTTATTTTTTAATTTTGATTTATTTTCCCCTTTTGTAAGAGGAAGTGTGTTTAGTGAAAGTCAATGAAGGCGCCAGCACAGTATGTGTAGTACAAACAGCGCCCCCTGTCGGCCGCGGGACTCCAGGCTTTAGGTGAGCGCCCTTGTGCTTTGGCCACATTTGTTGTTTATAATTAGATAATAACTTATAATAAATAAATAATAAGTATAAATAAAATAATAATAATAATTCAATAATGATAAGTAAAGATTGATGATAATAACTAAAGATGTTATAAAAGGTCGATGCTAAATCCACACTTGTTTTGAATGTTCTAGATCAAGTGGACTATAACCATGGATCTGTAATATAGCGGACTCTAACATCTATCAAACGTCAGTCAGTCAGCCGAACAGACTGACATCATAACTAAGCACTTCATAATAAATAATTTATTTGTGACATCCCGGAGAATTTCACTGACTTTAGAAAAGAAAAAGAAATGCACAGACTTATGATACGCACACGTAAAATCTAAATGGTTATTGTTGGCCTTAAAGTATCTTAGAAGGGCTAGGGAAAATATGGGGGGCACCTGTGTCTTCATATCTCTGTATATTTCTTATTTCACTTTATTCTGACGAAAACAACATATTGTTATTAAACGGTGGTTACAGTTCCTTGGACAAACCAAATCTCAATAGTACCAGTAAAAAAGTGCATATTGGTGAAGTTGAGTTTATAAAGAGTGACCCACTTGATTACCCTACAACGGGTTGTCAAATTGTCACCTAGAACCAGTCATTACCCAATCCAGTAGAGAGAAAAGATGAATTGAAGCACAGTTTATGGTTATAGAGCAGCAGAGTGGTGTGGGCCTATCACAGACCAGCATCAGGGGCTTTGTGACACGAGCTGCTTGGTTGTTGAAATAACTATAGCTTTAATCAATATCTTTCAACACTTCCAGCAACAATATCAACCAAGAATGTGGCTAATTAAAGGAATAGTACGTTGTATTTTTGCCTTTATTGGTGTAAAATGTTGCTACACTTTAGGACAATTTGGGTTTATTTGGGCTCTACTACACAAACAATTCAACCTTTGAGGGTTGCACATAAATGACCAGGCATTGAACCATCCAGTCCTCTTTAACTTCAGGTGAGTCACTGCTGATTTCATGGTTTATGAAGGAAAACAAACAGTGAGGGTGGATCAGTCTGTCACTGAAGCTGACGAGGATCCAGCCCAGGACCAGCTTCTTCTGTCCCTCTCTGTGATGCTGCTCCTGCAGACCTCTGACTGAGTCTCTGCAGCAGTGGGACTGACTGAAGAGACTGTTGTTCTGATGAACACCATGTACCTGTGTGTGCCACACCCTTATTGTCCCTTCCCTGAACTTCTCTGGAGCTGGAGCAGCAGTGACACCAGCATCAGTCCATCACCATCTCCTTGGTCTTCACCGCATGGATATAAGGTGGCTCTGTTAGTCCTGGGTTAGTCCTGGGTTAGTCCTAGGTTAGTCCTAGGTTTGTCTTCTGTTAGTCCTGGGTTAGTCCTGGGTTAGTCCTGGGTTAGTCCTGTGTTAGTCTTGTGTTAGTCCTGGGTTAGTCCTGGGTTAGTCCTGGGTTAGTCTTGTGTGTGTCCTGGGTTAGTCCTGGGTTAGTCCTGTGTTAGTCCTGTGTTAGTCCTGGGTTAGTCTTGTGTGTGTCCTGGGTTAGTCCTGAGTAAGTCCTGGGTTAGTCCTGGATTAGTCCTGTGTTTGTCTTGTGTTAGTCCTGTGTTAGTCCTGGGTTAGTCTTGTGTGTGTCCTGGGTTGGTCCTGGGTTAGTCCTGGGTTAGTCCTGGATTAGTCCTGTGTTAGTCTTGTGTTAGTCCTGTGTTAGTCCTGGGTTAGTCTTGTGTGTGTCCTGGGTTAGTCCTGTGTTAGTCCTGTGTTAGTCCTCTGTACTCTGTGTAATCGTCCTCAGTGATGAGTCCGAGTCAACTGTCTGTGTTGAGTCTGAAGTCTGTCTATAGTTATTTATCAAATGGAACATTGGCCATTAGCCTCCATCAGCTCATTCTTTTCTTTTGTTTCCTTTGGACCAAAGTACACATCACAAGTTGTTTTAGTTGACTTAAAGGTACTGTATATAGGAGGGTTTTCCCAAATTTTAGAAAAGAACCGCCCTCTCCACCTTTTGAACAAAACTCTCTGGTCTTATTTAACTCTGCAATAGCAATAGACCAGAAAAGCCCAAATATGACTCACTTGGCTTTTCACTTGGTCAATGAGGTGAATGGAAAAGTGTTTTAAACATCAGGTGCAGCAAGGACATAGAGACAAGAGAATTACCAAAACACATTTCCATACAGTGATGATTATGAGAATGCAAAGGCGTTAAGCCACATTGGGTGTAGTAATTTTTATATATTTATATTATCTTATTTAGGACTTTTTTGTGACTGATTCAGAACAGATAGTGTGCCTCAGATCCCTCTGCCTCCTCACACATAACCCGGTGGATGTGCACTATTGGTATTTTCAAGCTTGGCACATGTTGACCTTGGACACAGGTATATAATTTATCAAAAATGTATGTACTATCCCTTTAAACTTAGTCATGATACAATTAAAAGGCTCCAATTATTCAAGTTCTAAATGTGATGTTTATTGTAAATTATACAGTTGTAATTTGCTTCACTGAAAAAGTGAAGCAAACTCAATTTACTTTCCTTTTTCAGAAAATGAGATTTTGTAAATGAAATGATTATGAATGAGGATGAAGATGAAGATGAAGATGAAGATGAAGGAGAGGACAGCTGTAGTGAAGAGGGAGGCTGCTGAATCTATGGCAGGTCAGTGGAGCCTGTCCCACGTGGCCACACATGTTTTATACATCAGTAAACACTCATTAGCCTGTGATTATAACATTTGCTTTCTGATTTCCATCTCTTTATCAAATTCATACATTTATTTAGATTGCATTGCTGCATATATGTGTCAAGCAAAGGCAGAGTGGTCCCAGTGGAGATGTTTGCTGCAGGACAAACACTCCGTCCTTGACCCTCTCTGAGCTTTAACTGCTGCTCGTATAAACCTCAAATTAGCCACAAGCAAAAGACACTTACAAATGAACCCATGATTTCACACGCCAGAAAAAAGACCATTAGACCTCACGCAGAAGAGCGAGTCATGGTTTATATTTTTTATAAATGAATGAGGATTACCAGAAAATAATTCTCATAATTATATTACTTTATTTACAAACCACTGCAAGTTCAAAATATAGTACTAGTATACTATAAATGTCATATTAGTATCAATAATACAGGGAATTTAGAAATAAAATGCTGCCTATATAATAGTGACGAAGTCAAGACAATTAGTTTTGGTCCATATATTATCCATAATATTTTCCACAACATATTTCTACATTGCCTTTAAAAATCAATTATTGTGGAAAAAATCCGACAACACCATGCTTTCTTTGGGCTGAGAACTGATGTTCTGAGTGAGGTGCTAGAAATGTGACTGAGGCCAAAAATACATACAGGTGGCGCTGATTTTAGTTCCGTGCTTTGAAATGTATAACCCAGCTTGGAGAGTGGAGAGAACTACATTTAGGAAAGACAAACAAGGAGCAGACTTTCTTTTTCAAGGTACAAAAAGTATCTTGGCTGGTAAATATATATTTGTTTTTTGCATATCAAATAATAATAAGTTATATATAATGTACATATTAAACAATACAACAAAACAATACATACGATATATATATATATATATACTTACAATATTTTTATTTTTGCATTTATTTATATGTGCATATATCATAAATATAACTGATTTTTAACAATAACTTTATATTATTTGATATGCAAAAAACAATAACTTAATGCAAACTCACAAATGCAGTCATTTCACTGAGTCCTAATTGTTTCTGACGTGAAATAAATTAACTCACTATCTTATGGACAGACGTGGTATTGCAATAACATCTTGTGTTTGGAGTCATAGTACACTTACTACCAGTCAAATCATCTGCCATCACTGACAGTTTTGACTGTTTGGATTTTGATTGACATTGACAAATATATGCCACCTAATTTGACTAATTGTTCAATCAAATTATTGCATATAGATTTTAAGACACATGTCATCTTTTCTTCAGATTACCAGATTGCCCTGAGCTCTGTTGCAATAGAATATACAGTTATCATGCTGCTTGCAGCTTTCAGAGACAAAACAAGCAAATCTCCAAAATCTTGAATCCAAACTCCAAGCCTTTTGTCACTGCTTCGATGGCAACGTTATTGACATTTTTAACACTTTCTATAAGGGCCTGTCGCAAATACTGAGCTCTATAAATGCATAGGTTCTTTTTTTCCGTCAGGCCAAGATTGCTATCAACAGTGTCAGGGTGACCTTTTTATCAGATCATGAGTGATCTACCTCTGGCCTATACCTGCATTACAAGCCTATTGAAGTCCGGGTGGTCTGAGTTGGCTGGGGGCTGCCAGTGTTAACGTCAAAGCCAGCAGTGACAAATTCACCTTAATGGGAGGCCTTATTATTAGCCCTGTCCAGTGGTGTATTTCTGGAATGGCCCATTTTCACCCATTTTCTGGTTCATTATTGGGTGTTCACTGCCACCTGCTGGGCTTTCTTTGCTCTGCCCTTCAGCTTGTCAGCGTCCCTGGCTCTGTAACATCTTCAGCAGCACTGCATATAGGCCTCCTGCATGTTCTAGAATGTGATGATAATATATGTATGACAGGTATTGACGCGCGCTTGTGTGGTAGATGTAATGTTAACAGCTGCGCCCGTATTGACAAACCACACTTATTGATTGTAATTCGCAGATAATAGAGGTAGGAAGGGTGAAATACACACACAAAATCTTAAATTGCGTGGTTAAGCTGCGCGTTCACATCTTATGTCTCATGCCATATAAGAACAAAAAAAAACAGCAACCACACCCCCTTGTTTCAATCCCCTCCTTTTGCTTGTAATGTGTTTCTGGCATAGACAAACTTAAAAGTCTTTGTGCGTAATATAGGATGCAAGGCAAAGCTGAATGGGGAGATCTGACTGCAATCAACATTTTACACCAAAAGTCACAGTTTGGCAAGCTGAAACACGACACTGTTTGAAGAGCAGGTAGCCCTAGATGCGATTTCTTAGATTTCACCCCTTCACAAATATATGCGCAAACAACAGGGGAGACTTATTGCCGTGACTCACTGGTGCGCAATGACACTAAACAGAGACGGCGCGCGCTAAATGGCACCACATCCCACCTGCTTGAACAAACGCAGGGTCACCTTGTCTCGGATGTAACGGGGAGAGCGACTCAGCCCCCAGCGTGGATTTTTTTCCCCCCCAGCCTCTCCATCCATCCTTTCACCCGGAGCGTACCAAAGAGCGCAGCGACGCGTCCTTCATCACTTAATTTGGGGGACGTTACAATACACGCGCTGGCTTTTTTTAGATATATATTTTGGATTTCATCTGGTCACTTGGACTCAGGCGGCTGGGTAAGTGCAGGAATACCTCACATTTAAGCCAGTTCAAACTATAGACCCATAGTTTTATTGTCGTTCGAGATCTAACAGGTGTTTTAAGACCTCTGAAAGCTATGTCTGGGTCTGTGCAGGCTGACTTATATGCATGCTATAACATCCTCTCTTTGTATTCTGTCCAACAAATGTTTGCATGATTATAATCCCGCGCATGATTATTGATGGTGCTATACGTAACAGGTAAATGATGTGACGCCTGAAAGAAGAATTTGGCATTAACTTACAGCACGGTCAAATCTATTCACCTTGAACTCGTTATTGCACGTAATTCTGGCTTAAATTGACAACATAGTCTACATTTACTTATTTGGGGAAAGGGCATAATTTTCACCAATATGAACGCATTTTAGTAGTCGATTTTCATTTTCTTTATTTTCACTTGACCTCATCAAGAAATAATTATGAATTAATTAGGGCAGAAATGTATTTATTTTATTTACCTGCATTTCCAATTTGAAAGCCCTTTGGTTGGTTAGGGGCGTAACCATAATGCAGTCTGTGCTGTCAATTGTTAATTTTGTGCGATTTTTTCAGTTTTTATTAGTTTTGCGCCTAATTGTGAACTTCACGCATCCTAACAGCGCATTATGCTCTTGGACATCTGTGTATTTTGGTGTATACATCTCGTATTGTTATTGATTGAGTATGGCTATAGGATTCAAATTTTTTTGTGTTGTGGGGGGAATCCAAAGTGAGCGAGCTTTTTGAGGTGAAGTCTTGGCTGGCACAGGGTCTGGGCAGAAGTGATGGCGGCGTCTGCACCCTCCACTGGCGGCGAACCGGATCCCAACAACTCGACTAATTTACGACCTCCAGGCTCAAGTAGGTCTATCACCGATCAAATGCTGTTTCACGTGAGCTATTTATTTTGCGGCCGACGCCATTAATCATCTCCATCGGGGAGAGAGGAAGAGGGGGGGGGAGAGGGCAAAAAAAAAAAAAAATGCCATTTGGGGATCGCTTCCACATTTCACTGCTGCGTTTCATTCACGGACCCCCGGCTACAATGTGACAGACGCACTCTTTGTCAACACCCGTGTCCTCTGCTGACACTCCCTGAAGGCTTTAGTGCAGCCTCTATGTCCATCATAGTATTTATTATTTGTTTGTATTTTTCAAATATATTTTGATGACGATTAAGATTATTATTATAAGCCTATTTTTGCATTTCATATATTGCATATTTTTGCTATTTTCCTCCTGCTTCCTATACTTCCATTATTTCCTGCCTGCTCTTAATGCTCTGTCTGAATAAATTGCCCGCATGGAAAATTTCAAATTGCCCCTGAAGTGGCTGTTGATTCAGGCACATTAAATTGGCCCTAATGGCACACTTAGGCTTTGTGCTGCCTTCTGGAGATATAGAGGAGGAGCACTGTAAAAAGCCTGCAGCTCTCACACTGTCCTTTCATTGTCACCAAATGAGAAAAAATAAGCCTTTTTCTGCTATGGAAGACGAATCATTTCAAAACAATAATTGGATGTTCATGTTTTAGTCCTCATGTTGTTTATTGTATAGGTTTTGGCGTAGCTTACGGTCGAAATAACATGTATTTTTTGACTACCATTTTTGTCAGACAGCACCCCGACAATGGAACTGCTCATATTCTTTTTTGGGGTGCTGTCTGGTCCATCTGAAAGCCATAAACAATCCTACTGAAGTGCATCCAAGGGGCTGAGCAGGCCAATGATTTATCTAATGATCCGGAGCGAAGGTTAAATTGGGATGTGGGACTGGGACTGCCCCTCCTCCCCGTCTTGTAGTTGCCCTCCCACCCCATGCTTTTGCCTAAATTGCTGCTTTTGTAAGATTTCGTCCCTCGTGTGTGGTTTTTGAGTGGCTGCAAGAGCGCGATAAGGCGCCCATTCTCTATCTGTCAGCGGCCAGACGCACGCAGATAGGCCGCATACTCTCATCCCACATCAGAATCTTTCCCCCCAATTAGATCCATACAGCAGCGTGTCATCAAACGGATAATTAATTTCGGTCCTTGCAATAGGTCATGCGCAGTGGCAGTAGTGGAAATAGGCTAATCCATATGGGGCCTTTGGGCGCTGAGTTGAAATAGTCCCAGAGCTTCTTGGTTATTTTTACTCCATCACGCAATATTATCCACCTCATGCAGCTCCATATCTCTATAATTAACTTGTCTCATTAGAATGTGAATTGTAATGGCTTTTGTCTTGCTTTGTGAAGCTATCTACATTTTATTCCCCATTATGGCAGGTTATGACGCATGGTGCGGTGTTGCCCATGGATGCACTCGAAAACTGGGGATGAAGATATGCGGTAGGGCCATTAATGCATCCTCTTAAACGTTTGGTTGTTTGTTTGTTTGTTTTTCCCATGATTATACAAGTTATTTGAATACTTGTTCCGAATATAGGACTTATATAAATATAAATTACATTTATATAATTAGGCCTTTCTGCACAATTGGTCTAATTGTTTTACGTTCAAATATAATTCAAGAATTAACATGTTGACACAGATGTAGGTCTATTCTAGTTGAACATGTGTTGCATAAAAGTCCTTTATTTGACTTTCGAGTTAAGATCACAGGGTTATATGACATTACGCCATGCTCCAGTCAAGCGCACGCCCCATCCTTTATGACCACGTGTTCTCTTTATAATTGCTTTGAAATTAACTACTTGCACAATCAATCTCCATCTATATTTTACAAACACGACCACATTGATACTTTAATCTCTTAACATTTTGATTGGGCTTAAAAAAATATTGTCTGGATGCACATTTGTCATAACAGCAGCAGCAGCCCGGGGATTTCTTATCGCTATATACTTGCTGCCAACTCAAGTGTGCACGGCTGAAGCGACTTGGAGGAATTTACAGCAGCTATAGGAATGACGAGTTTGATCCTGACTGGAGTTTGTGGCACCGGTGTTACCCCTCCCATAGCCTTTATAGTGGAGGATGCACGGCTTCTCTCTGTAGACAGCAGAGGGAGAGAGCTGCGTGTAGGAGCGCGCTGTGCAGAAGGCCGGCCCACATAGACACCATGTACGGAAACAACACGTGTAACCCTTGTCCCTCTGCTGACCGCCGCTCAGGCTTCCTGCAGAAGAACAACAGTCTGGAGAGCTCCTTCAGAGAGCGCAGCGCCAAGACCCTTCTCGATCACCAGGAGACGCGCTTCAGACACACTGAGACCGACTTCTCCAACTTGTACGCCAGAGGTGAACCAACCCTTATTTAACACGCACTAATATTAATAGCACTGTTCATGTTGTATATTCCCACGATACTTGCTGCACGTGCATGAAAATATAACTTCTTTAATTATTGGCCTTCTTGAATCCCATGTGTTGAAGGAGGAGTTTCCCAAATTTTAGGAAAGAACCGCCCTCTCCACCCAACCGCCACTTTCTGGTATTGTTTGACTATTACCTGGATGATTGACAGTTAGGAGGACCAATAGTCTTGATGATCCACCCGAAAGTAGAAAATCTTCCTATTTAACACAAGTTTGGAAGGTGTTGGGAAGATGTCTTTAAGCAGTTATTTGCAAATGAATCTTGATTTAAGTGTGAAGGGAAAACGATAATATGTGTTAGAAACTTCTAAATGATCACAGAACAAAGTCAACGGACATTATTATTATCCTATTTGCGTAAAACAAAGGAAGCAGACGTGTGTTATTCATTCATCGGAAATGTTCCAACTGTTTTCATCCATCTTTGGCATGATGCCCCATTTATTCACACTCTAAACTTGTTTCTTGCTCGAGGGCATGGAAGTATCCTCAAAGAAAGACAGGCTTTAGCTTGTCAGCCCAAGTCTACGTAATGCATATTTTAAACACATATTTATCTCAAACATGAATAAACAAATCAATCCTTATCAGATCTATTGCCTGCCAAAAATGGAGAAGAAGCGACCATGCAGTTCTTGCTGGAGGTGGTGGACATCCTCACCAACTATATCCGCAAGACGTTCGACCGCTCCACCAAGGTTCTGGACTTCCACCACCCGCACCAGCTACTAGAGGGCATGGAGGGCTTCAACCTGGAGCTGTCCGATCAGCCCGAGTCCCTGGAGCAAATCCTGGTGGACTGCAGGGACACTCTGAAATACGGCGTCCGCACAGGTAGGCAGTAAGAGCAGCGTGATCGATAAGAATCCTCAGTCTGTATGTGTTCGGTTAGCGCCCTGATTGCAGATGACTCCTCTGCCGATGATTTATTACTACGTTCATATATGGTCCCCGTGTTTTTCCCAGGCCACCCCAGATTCTTTAACCAGCTGTCTACAGGCTTAGACATCGTGGGTTTGGCCGGGGAGTGGCTCACGTCAACTGCAAACACCAACATGTGAGTATATTCTATTGAGCTGCATGATGTTCAGTTTGCAGGTGTGTTGTGTAAGCAAGGGCATAAAGAGAAGCGCGACCACAAAAACACACACGCTTTTACTTTTCACTGTGGGATCTACTCAAAGCACCTTTATGCAAATGTCGATGCCTCACTAGCATGATTGCATTTGGTTATTTTTGGCGGGAAAAACAGACTAAAAGTTCTTTAGGCTTATTTTGTTATTTAACCCTTTAATTTTCTCTTGACAAAAGCAATCTAAATGTTTATTTTTCTCATTTTCTAAGATGTAGGAGCACTAATGACAAACAAATAACAATGTTTTTATGTTTATGTTTAATGTTATTATATTATATTCATAGGCCTTTACCAAATGGTTGAGATGCAGTTTGATGGCAGAAGAGGTAGATTTCAGTTCCAACCAAGCTTCCAGTAGAAATAGTGACTCAAAAAGTAATCCACCAAATGGTTGAGGAAACTATTGAAGGGTCAAATTGTGACTCCAATAGAACTTTTCCTGTAACAAAATCCTGGCAAAGCGGACTTGCTTTCGACCAGGAAAATCTGTGAATGTGATCGTACTGTATAGGCCTGTATTATCATTATCAAGATCATAAATATTAATACTAAAAGAAGAGTGAGACAAATTAGCCTAGCATTTTAGCCTACCATATAAAGTGGTTCTGAACTGTCTTTTAAAGTATATGTATTCAGAAATATTTCCCTGAAAGTATAACCACGCTTTACATTTCTGAATTTGGGGGAATGAGCAGCTCAGTATAAGTAGTAGCAAACAAAACACTAAACTGCATATATAGCTAATAAACGTTTTAAAAAATGTATTAAATCTGTATGTTCTTCAAGAAAAATACACATTATTAATACAGATACAGTGCCTTGCGAAAGTATTCGGCCCCCTTGAACCTTTCAACATTTCGTCACATTTCAGGCTTCAAACATATAGATCCATCCATCCATCCATTTTCTACCCTTTAATCCATTTCTGGGTCAGGGGGTGGCAGTCAGAGATGCCACCCAAGTCTCATAGCACCAGCCCCTCACTGACCCTCTGCAGGTGGTGAGTCCACAGGAGGACGGCTGCTCTCTGAGTGTGAGCATAGCCTTGATCTTTCAGTTGGGGCTTTGGGCAAAGTGGGGTTAAGTGTCTTGCCCAAGGACACAACGACAGCAGTCATCAGTGGGAGTTGATGGAGAAGGTGTAGAGGTGGGAATTGAACCCACGACCTTCTGGCCTTAAGACCAATGCTCTACCAACTGAGCTACTGTCGCCCTAACGACATCAAACATATAGATATAAAATTTAAATTTTTTGTCATGAATCAACAAGTGGGACACAATCGTGAAGTGGAACGAAATTTATTGGATAATTTAAACTTTTTTAACAAATAAAAAACTGAAAAGTGGGACGTGCAATATTATTCAGCCCCTTTACTTTCAGTGCAGCAAACTCACTCCAGAAGTTCAGTGAGGATCTTTGAATGATCCAATGTTGTCCTAAATGACTGATGATGATAAATAGAATGCACCAGTGTGTAATCAAGTCTCCGTATAAATGCACCTGCTCTTTGATAGTCTCAGGGTTCTGTTTAAAGCGCAGAGAGAACCATGAAGACAAAGGAACACACCAGGCAGGTCCAAGATACTGTTGTGGAGAAGTTTAAAGCCGGATTTGGATACAAAAAGATTTCCCAAGCTTTAAACATCTCAAGGAGCACTGTGCAAGCAATTATATTGAAATGGAAGGAGTATCAGACCACTGCAAATCTACCAAGACCCGGCCGTCCCTCCAAACTTTCATCTCAAACAAGGAGAAGACTGATCAGAGATGCAGTCAAGAGGCCCATGATCACTCTGGATGAACTGCAGATAACTACAGCTGAGGTGGGAGAGTCTGTCCATAGGACAACAATCAGTCGTGCACTGCACAAATCTGGCCTTTATGGAAGAGTGGTATTTCTCAAAGATATCCATAAAAAGTCTTGTTTAAAATTTGCCACAAGCCACCTGGGAGACACACCAAACATGTGGAAGAAGGTGCTCTGGTCAGATGAAACCAAAATCAAACTTTTTGGCCACAATGCAAAACAATATGTTTGGGGTAAAAGCAACACAGCTCATCACCCTGAACACACCATCCCCACTGTCAAACATGGTGGTGGCAGCATCATGGTTTGGGCCTGCTTTTCTTCAGCAGGGACAGGGAAGATGGCTAAAATTGATGGGAAGATGGATGGAGCCAAATACAGGACCATTCTGGAAGAAAACCTGTTGGAGTCTGCAAAAGACCTGAGACTGGGACGGAGATTTATCTTCCAGCAGGACAATGATCCAAAACATAAAGCCAAATCTACAATGGAATGGTTCACAAATAGACGTATCTAGATGTTAGAATGGCCAAGTCAAAGTCCAGACCTGAATCCAATCGAGAATCTGTGGAAAGAGCTGAAGACTGCTGTTCACAAACGCTCTCCATCCAACCTCATTGAGCTCGAGCTGTTTTGCAAGGAAGAATGGGCAAGAATTCCAGTCTCTCGATGTGCAAAACTGATAGAGACATACCCCAAGCGACTTGCAGCTGTAGATGCAGCAAAAGGTGGCGCTACAAAGTATTAGCGCAAGGGGGCCGAATAATATTGCACGAATGCACGCCCCACTTTTCAGTTTTTTATTTGTTAAAAAAGTTTAAATTATCCAATATATTTTGTTCCACTTCACGATTGTGTCCCACTTGTTGTTGATTCTTGACAAAAATTTAAATTTTTATATCTTTATGTTTGAAGCCTGAAATGTGGCGAAATGTTGAAAGGTTCAAGGGGGCCGAATACTTTCGCAAGGCACTGTACATACAGAACATTATCCAATCGTGTAGAAATTCCCTGTCTATGTTGCCTCAATGCCTCAATGACTGTTTCGGACATAAATTGCACATAGTGCACACTAATAAACATCTGTAAAAAACATGTACAGTAGATTATAGATAGATATAATAAAGAAATGCTAGTTTCCATTTGTTGTCCTTAGACAGTGACATAAAAACCAAACAAGAATGTATTGTTGGGACGCTATTCATCTCTGGAGCAGGTATCTGACTGTAAAGCAAAAAGTTTTGATTTCATATGTACAGTATCGCTTCTCTTTGTATGTGACTCTGTGTGTGTGCGTGTATTTTGTGTATGTGTTCATGAACAAAAAAAATACAAACTCAGTAAAAAAAAAAATGCAACAAAACATAAATACGTATACATAGTGCCCTTATTTCAAAATGAGCCGATGGAAGTGCGATAACAAGGTGTCACATGTCCCTGTCTCAGCAAACATGCCATATATCCAGTGCGGGCTATTGTCAGGTGAAAATGAGCATCTAACATAATTACAGTGTTGTTTGTCCTGCTCCAGTCGCCCACGCGGCCTGTCAATCACGCCGTCAAAAAAAGTGCCACAAAAGAAGACGCTTGTCCATCGCTGCTCCCCGCTCAATGCTGCTCTCTCCGCTCGGGCGTGCTCACATAATTCAGCCCTGCGGGGGAAACGAAATTGCATATTGATTGGCATTCAGTGTACACCGTATCTTTGTTTCACGTCGAGCCAGTTCCTGTGACATAACAATGGCGAGGGATGAAAAAAAAGAAGAAGTGCGTTTGCCTTTGAGACCATGTGTCCACAATATGAACAAAACCAGGTCTTTTCAATTCAATATCTCCCCCTTTTGTCGACGGGAGTTAATTGACTTAGTGTAGGTACAGGACTGGGGTCTATTGCAATCTATCAGCCGCGCCTGTAAAAGCATGCTGTTGTGTTCAATCCTCTCTGGAGATAATTTAGAGGCTGTTATTTGCACATGGCATAGTTCATTATAGCCGGCTGTGCTAGAGCGTTAGTGTTGTGGCTGCAGGGCAATCGTTTCTCTATGATAATCACCAGCGACCTTTAGCTAACCTTTTAAAAATGACGCCAAATTGGGACTCGCAGTTAATAAACCACTTAGTGCGAACAACCTAATCAATGGCTCAAAGAGGGGGTCTCAACTGGTGGGTCGGGGACACGAGTGAATCATTGGAAATCGTTGAAATAAAGTTTATCTGAGATGATGTCCCGAAAACGCGTTGATGTCGTTATGATTATAATGTGTGTATTTTTGTAGTGACCGGTTCTTATTGTGTTGCCTGAGAAGAGACCAAGTACTTTCAAAATTAGATATACGTAAGTACTATGCTGCCGTTGTGTCCTTGGGCAAGATACCTCCCCCACATGATGAATCTGCTGTGTGTGTGTGTGTGTGTTGATGTTAGTGTGCAGGTGTGTGTGTAATGTATTGTAATTATAAGCTCATAGGCCTTTTCATGTTAATGGACACATTGGTTGATTGAGATTCAGAAGCTATATTTTTCTCACCAGGGCATTTGAGCACAAGAAAATTCTTGACAAAAACAAACAAGTCACATTCTGAGAAGGCCAGAACAGTCCAATACAAGCTTAAACACACACTAAGCCCATTTCACGTACAGGTAATAGTTCAACTGCTAAATAGTGGTTGGGACAGTGGGTATAGGTCTCCTGCCTCACAACAAGAAGGTTGTAGGTTCAATCCGGGTTGTAATCAATTCAATTCAATTTATTTTTGTATCGCCCTAAATCCCAACAGCAGTCGCCTTGGAGGACTTTACAAAGTTGTCGATTCGCCAACAGATCGGAGAATTGTACAAATCCTGACCAACCACTGCAGTGACCATTGCTCCTGACAGGTTTCCCCAGTGGCATTAAAGGATGGGTCAAAGGCATTTTTCTTCAAGGGAACAATGAAATCTGACCTAACCATAGGATTTTAAACATTAGATTTTACAACGTGGTGGAACATCATTAACACACATCATTCAACATTTTGGTTCAAGCCTTTCTCACGCCCTGCAAGTTTCAGCTGACAGGGCCTTCTGTCCAACTCCAGAAACTTTGGAGTAAATGTGCACAATTCGCTTTAGTTCTGCAGATAAAGGAGATCACAAAAGGCTTTAAATGAATATATGAAGGCCTGAGAAAACCAAAATAGTGAATTGGCTGCTAAGGAGTTTAAATTGTACGTAAGATAAATGTGTTTAATAATAGTCTAAGTGTTAGTATCAGTTGTTGTGTCCTTGGGCAAGACACTTAACCCCACTTTGCCTGAAGCCCCCGCTGGAAGATTGAAGCTCCTTTGGACTCACCACCTGCAGGAGGATCAGTGAGGGGCTGGTGCTCTGTGTACTGGGTGCTGCTCTGACTGCCACCCCCTGACCCAAAAATGGATTAAGGGGAAGAAAATGGATTGATGGTGTTGGTATCAAATTTAAATTCAAAAAGGTGCCAAGGGATGTATAGTGGATGACCCTCTGAAAAAAACCTCAAGTCCAGGAAATATTTGTCACATCTTAAATAAAAACAATGAAAACAGTAGTTATATGGTTAGTGAATAGTTATTTTCCAATCCTACTCTTTTTTTCCAAAGAAAATACTTTTCAGAGGTTTTGTTACTTGTTGATGCTGCAGATTGATAGCGAGGATGGACTTATCTCAGTGAGGTCACAATTTTCAGGTGGAGCCTCAGGTTGGTCGTCTGACAGCTGCAGTGAACAACACTGACATTAACGCTGAGCTGAACCATGAGGTGGAAGTTGCATTGTTGTTCTGTAATTTATCCTTATTAATTATCCCATCAGCCTTAATCACCCCTGGCAGATATTGACTGACACTAACAGTGATCCGCTCTCATCTGAGGCTCGCACCGCGGTGAGAGTGATTGAAGGAGCTGCACTTGAAGCGTGGCATCTGTGTGAGGCACCTGACGTGTTTCTCCTGGTCTGAAGTGTTGGAGGGAATCATACAGCTCAATATCTGGTCAATATACTAACGTTAGTGCATGAATGGGCATTCACTTATGTAATTATGAGTATTGGGCACAAGATGGATGAGGCTGTCTGCCCATAGTCCCACTCCACTGTGTACGACTCAGAGCTGCAATCTGACAAAGTGCTGATGATTCACAAAAGTGATTTTCTAAAGAAATTAAACTGTATTCATCATTCTGCAACAATTATGCAGTTAACCATCTCTATGAGCAATGCAAATATTGTTTTTCTCTTCTTTTCTAATAAAAAGGCTGGGTACAGGCTGGGTACAGGTTGAATTAATGATTTCTTGACTGTGGCATTTTCTGTGTCACTTCACTGCAGTAAAAGGTCATTCCTGCTCCAACGTGGCTCCACTGGAGTGTGTAAGACCCAAGGATCTGATCGGAGAAAGAATGCTTCCTGCTCAGCCATGTTTGGATGATACAAATGCCATTATATTGATCTTTTGTGCATTGTATGGGCATTGGAACCGCAGCAAGACAAAACATTATATACTCTGCAGAATCAAAAGAGCTTTTTCCTCACAGCCTCAAACTGTGTTCCAGGTTCACGTACGAGATCGCCCCCGTGTTTGTCCTCATGGAGCAGCTGACTCTGAGGAAGATGATGGATATAGTGGGCTGGAGAGATGACGAGGGCGATGGGATATTCTCTCCAGGTAACACATTTCAAACTAAATAATAAGTTGGTATAACTATAAATAATACATACATATTTAAGTTGATGTGTCTGTATTCAACCAAGAATACCTTACATACTCACAAACTCTACCTACATTTACTCAAAGGCAACTTTTTAGGCATTGCATTAATAACAATTTGATTTTAATTGAGAGATTGAGATTGCTTGAATAAAAAAGATAAAAAACAAAATCCTCCATATCTTCTCATTTTAGGAGTTTTCACATAGACATTCTTGTAACAAAACCATCAACTAAACAACTAAATATTGACAGCCCTAATGCTGATAAAACAAGATATCTTTTTGTGCAGGTGGGGCCATCTCCAACATGTACAGCGTGATGGTTGCCAGATACAAGTATTTTCCTGAAGTGAAAACCAAAGGAATGTGCGCCGCTCCCAGGCTGGTCCTCTTCACCTCAGAACACGTCAGTAGATGCTCATTTCTTTTTCTGAGCTGAAATTCAAATGGAACTATAACTGTAAATGTTTTGTTTCTGCAGAGCCACTACTCCTTTAAGAAAGCCAGTGCTGCGTTGGGCTTTGGGACAGACAACGTGATTCTCTTGAACACAGATGACAAGTTATTCTCCTTTTTATATCCAAAAACTGCAAGAATATGTCACAAAAGTGGTTCTCGTGTATGTTTAGTCATTCATTTTTGATTTATCTTTTCAGAGGAAGAGTTATTGCTGCTGACTTGGAGGCCAAAGTGATAGCTGCCAAACAGAAGGTAATCAAGGAAAAAACAAACTTAAAAATCCAACTCTGGAACCAGGAATACATACACAGACAATGGACCAGCAACAAATGAGGATGAGCAGAGGGTACATAAAGAGACCATAGACTGTAAATACTCTGCCGTTCTAACTAATGTGCCACAACTTTTGCGGTCTATGGGCAGTTTCAAAATGGCCGCGGGGGGCAAATGTTATATGTTTGCATATTGCATATTGCATATTGAATAATTCTTGAATAATCGGCCCATTTTTCTCTCATTTAGGTTTTTCTTTCTGTTTCCCGCCACATTTTGTTGTAATTACATTGTCGTAGTCACATACAGTGAACAGTTGTATGATAATGCTTTTTTCTGGCAGGGCTACGTTCCCATTTATGTGAACGCCACCGCAGGAACCACCGTCTACGGAGCCTTTGACCCCATCAATGAGATCGCTGACATATGTGAAAAGTACAACATCTGGCTCCATGTAGACGTAAGGGCCTTTTTTAGGAGCCTGGTCACAAAACACAAGCAATAACCTCAAGAATATTTACTGTCCTAATGGAAAAACATGCTTGTGTGCAGGGAGCGTGGGGAGGAAGTCTGCTGATGTCCAGAAAACACAGGCACAAGCTCAGCGGAGTAGAAAGGTATAAAAGACAATGTACATGGGAAATGATGTAGCACTTTTCTACATTTCAAAGGCGCGTCACATCAAGGAACCCTTCAACCATCCGCAGACACTGGGGGGAGCTGGGTTAAGTGTCTTGCCCAAGGGCAGCTTCAGATTTGACCGCTCAATCAATGATGTTTATGTTGGGGACAGGATTCGCCAACCTTTAGATCTGAGAACACATGCTCACTGTTATTACATGGGATTACATTCTATATATACTGTATTATATATTGTTTCAAACAGTTTCAAATTATTTTGGTAAAACGCCAGGAGTGTTCTTTTATATCATTTCTAAAGCCGATTAATTGGTATAAAACTTGTAGACACAACCCAAACATATCCTCACAAAAAACCTAATTTTTATGCAATGTGTTGAAAAAATGTATTTGTATTTGTTTGTGCGCACGTGTAATGAAGTAATAATAAGATAAGATAAACTTTATAATGGAGAATTTTACAATATTTTAATATATTAAAATGCATTGTTTGATTACCAACAATAATGACTGCAGAGGTCACATAATAAACCAGTAATGATAGTAATGGCTGGTCAGGCTAACCTAAACCGGACCAAAACCTAACATAAATAAACCCATCAATGGAGGAGGAGGAGGAGGAGGAGGAGAAGTTGTGAAAAGTATTAGTAAAATATGTTGATCTTATGTGTGTGTGATCTGTGCAGGGCCAACTCTGTCACCTGGAACCCTCACAAGATGATGGGAGTGCCGCTGCAGTGCTCTGCCATTCTGGTCCGAGAGAGGGTGAGGATGCAGAGATGAATATTATCAAAGTGCCGCTCTCTCTTTAGGCGACTCTAACCTTTCTTCTTTTCTCTTCTCTATATCTCTGTGATACAGGGGCTTCTGGAGGGCTGTAACTCCATGTGTGCTGGCTACTTGTTCCAACCAGACAAACAGTATGATGTCACATACGACACTGGGGACAAAGCCATACAGTGCGGGCGCCATGTTGACATCTTCAAGTTCTGGCTCATGTGGAAAGCAAAGGTACGCAAACTACACTTTACTCTGTATTTATAGACAATCCTTCTTGATTGACAATTGGACTACAACAGGTTGCGTTCATGTTAAAGAATGCTATTTCAGTTGGACGCCATGAGCCAATACAGCTAGCTTTTTGTTAAGTAATGTTGAGAAAGAAAATGTCCAACTCTTTCCCCAAATCATTCTTTGATTGAGATTAGATTCAAGTCCTTTCTTCTGGCCAACATCAAGCAAATGTTTGTTGAATATTGTCGACTTTTTCAAGAGAATAATCAAGACCATAGTTGATAAGTACTGACAAAAAAAGATGTAGAACTTCATGACAGTCTTTGCTCCTTGCGGATTGGCCCAAGAATGACTGAAGAAAGTACCAGGATAGATTTTCAGCTGCTGTCCACCACAATTTTAAACTATAGAATCTTTGGAACGTTGTGATGTCACAGGAGAACAAACTATTGAATGCATTCACTGTGCATTACATTCTTAAAGTACAATACACAATACAATACAATGCAACACAATAAAATACAATTTATTCTTGTATAGCCCTAAATCACAACAGGAGTCATCTCAAAGGTCTTAACAAAACCATTGAAATCACTAACACAGTATAAAGTCAACAGTTTTTAGCTAAATTTACTTTTATGTTAATAATAAATAATTTTCCTTTTTAGGTCAGTCAAGGTATTATACATACTGAAAGATTCCAAAGTGACAAACCATGAAAGAACTTTTATTTTGAATAGTTAGTGGGTTTTGTTAGTCGTTAAATTACGCTAGAAAAAACCTATTCATTCATCTAAACTCTTTTCTTTCTCTCACACAGGGAACAATAGGATTTGAGCAGCACATTGACAAGTGCCTGGATCTGGCGGCATATCTCTACAATAAAATCAAAAATAGAGACGGCTACAAGATGGTGTATGACGCAGAGGTAAGACCTCAAATCGTTCCAGGATTTAGCACAAAAGAAGTCCTTTTACCGCTGTGTCCGATGCCTCTTCCCGTAAGTGCATGTGTGTAGGATTGATTGTGTTATTTACCTGTGCTGACATCCTGACAATTTGAGCTGAAATTACAGAAGAGGGTTTTTATCAGCACTCATTACTGATGTTGTTCCAATTTCCTCTTATCAGCCGCAGCACACAAACGTCTGCTTCTGGTTCTTCCCTCCGAGTCTGCGCGGTCTACCTGACGGAAAGGACAAGAGGGAGAGACTGCACAAGGTAACGCTGAGTAAAGATGTCACCACGACCTGACGGAAACAAGGACGACGTCACAGGCTTGTTTCCATAAAGAGGGTTTTTACCGTACTGCATCATATTTATTCGTTTTGCTATTGCTTAAAAAAATTCAAAAACAACATGCATTCTTACTGTGAGTGGCCTCCCCTCTCACTGATTGTTATCATTCAGCATAATATATACATATGTTCAAACCTGTAACTTGAACTTGTACAAATCCTTCATGAGAAAACTGGAGCAGGTTTATAATAAATAATTACAGAAATGGAACAATATTTAATCGTAAGACAATAAAAAGGTTGCGTGAGAGCTAAATATTTGCAAGCAGAAGGATTTGTTGACTAATCACCCACTTTTTTGACAGCAGATGGTTTGATAGATTTCCTGTAGTGTGAATCTGATGACAGACCTGTGGTTGGCAGAGGGGCCGAAGGATGTTTGAAATTACAATTTAAATGTTATCAGCTTCCATAACAGCAATGTTGGCCACTTATGGCAAATATATGGCAGTTCTGGAACTGAAGGATGATGGATAGACCAGAAGTGGGCCACCATCGTCATCTGGTAAACCCCAGTGACAGGTGGCACTGATATGGTTGGATGTGGCTCACATGTGGCATACGAGTGTGGATCATGTTATCACTGGAAATCCATGCCACAGGTGGGCCACATGTCTGAGCATAATGTGGCCCACCTGTGGCATGGTGGGCCACTCTTTTTGAGGTAGAGTTGTAGAGTTGTTCTGTAATGCTTTTTCTCTTCTTTTTCTTTCTTTCTTTTCTCGTCAGGTGGCTCCAAAGATCAAGGCGATGATGATGGAGTCTGGGAGCACCATGGTGGGGTACCAGCCACAGGGAGACAAGGTCAACTTCTTCCGCATGGTGATCTCCAACCACGCCGCCACCAGGTCAGACATCGATTTTCTCACTGACGAGATCGAGCGCCTGGGACAAGACTTGTAAGAAAAAAAAGCACCAACCTTGTCACTAATATTATGGCCTTCATGTTTCTATGGTCTCTGGCCAATCTGTAATGCACAACAGTCTGTTCATGTGTCTGTTCTTTGTCAGAGCATATGTCACCTCTTTGCACAGTAGAAAACTATAGAAAAAGCACACAGGTACCAAATAAAGAGTTGAAAATACATAGCATTGTGCTCATATTAGTGTATTGTTATGTAATTGTGACATAGCTACGCACTTGAATTACTCTCTCAAAAGAGACAAAACTATTGCAAATAGCTGTTGTTCTTGATAGAAGTAGAACCTTGTAGAACAGTAAAAACAAGAGTGCAGGTCACAGGCACCTGTGTCGTGGCGACGCAGTGTAGGCTCCATGTCCCATCGTGGGAGTTAGCGTCGCCGATAGGACTAGGCCGTTGCAACAAGAACTGTACTTACTTGCTGTGTTTTTTAGAGATTTTTGTCTCTGCTGTGTTAAGTATTGTCACATTGACTTTGTGCCAAATGTGTCCTAGTTTTAAAATAATAATATGTAAATCGTACCATTATATACACGCACATATATATATAGAAATAGATCTATATAGATACATATAAAATAAATTATCCTTTTTCGCGAGACTTGGATTGTTAGGTGTTCTATTCCACATGTGTTGTATATTCTTAATGTAAACATCACATTTTTAAAGTGTCTCGTGAGCCAAAGAAAATACCTGTTCTATTGGTCCTGATGGGAATATATATGTATCACTGTGTTAGAAAGATAGTGGGGACAACAAGTTGTACAACGTGAAACTGTGCAATTTAAATGTAATTCACTACTGAATGTTTTGAGGAGAGCTTTGTTTCCTGTGAAAAGCACAACTCTACAGCCTGAACTGGGAGGCCATGATCTGCAGACGTATGATTGTCACTTTTGTGCTGTGTGTGCAGCGGGGTCCAAGGTAATATGCAAAGGCTCGATGTCTTACTTACACTCAGTAGAAAAACACTTCTACGACATGGATTCTATGGCAATTACAAATATTGTGTTAGCTACTGATTATCTTACATTCCTGAATTAATAGGATCAAAAGGAAAAACTTTAAGCAAGTTCATTTACAGGTTACTGCGGTAAAAATCAATAATTGTAAAATGTGTGTTTGTATATGTGCGAGAAAGAGTGTCTTCTAGGTCATTTGTCTCTGTCCGACGGCTCAGCGCATCAAATCGCCGCAAAGGGAATAATATGATCTCTCTATGTATCCAAATATTATGCAAATTTAATGACAACTATATGTGAAATAAGAATAAATCAATCACAACCGACCACTGTCATGTCCTGTTCTGATTTGTACCTTTTCAGTGTTGTACCTTGCTCCCGTCCACCACTTTTCAGATTAATAGAACCTCTGGGACTTTTTTTATTGGCTGATCATCTACAGCTGAGATTTCCCCCAGCCCCACTCCCCCATGCCAATTCCTTCACTACCGCCATCACTCACCCTTCCAAGATATTTATCATAAAACGCATTAGACTGTGCTCTCTTAACATTTTTTTTCCCGAGGAGCCTATTTTGGTGCTGTGCCTGGCTGCTTTTTATTTCGACATAGCAGCGAGGGGCGCACTGCTCAGCCTCTCTCTCTCCCCCATCCTCCACCAGCCGGCCCTATTCTTTGTTTCATGCCTCAGTGCAGCGATCATTACAGACCTGGTGTCACTGCCGCTTTGTGAAGTTACAGGAAAGACCGGGTGTAAAAAGGGAAAAAGGCACAGCAGTAATGTTCCAGTCTAAAGTGATCAGCTTTGGGGGCGTGGTCTTTTTGTTTGCTGGGATAAGTACAGCGTTACATCAGGGGAAGGCTTTGTGTGCCAAAACATAATGACATGGCTAATTTGGGAAGCAGGTGCTAAGGGATGCTGCCAGTGATGAAATGCAAATGGGGAGGTGCTTTCGACTCTAATACGGAGCGTCACAGTCTAGTAGGTCTTAATGTGCGGCCTCCTAAAGTAAGTCATTCTGTTTGTTTTACCGCTAGTAATCCTTCTACTCACAGCAAAACAATCACTTCATCATCCAACAGCGACTAAATATGGACATGGAAAGGGAATATATTGATCTGTGGTATTTTTGTTGTAATATGAAAAATATATATTCATTTTGGACAATTCAAATCGCATTGCTCATTCACCTCTCTTTCTTGGTGGTAATAACTACTGAAGCCACAGCTGCCCAGACTGACCAGTGGCTGCCTATCTGCGTCTTTCTCAGAGGTAGGCATAGATTCAATTATACAGTTGAGCAAAAGTACTGATACAACTGACATTTGTGGAACCCCTTTTTGCTGTAATGGCTGCAAAAGTCATGAATATATGAATACTTGCGTAAGCCCCACTTTATATTTTTGAAATCATCATGTTGCTTTCATTCCACAGTTGTCTGGTACTTTGTTCTGGACTTAAAATACAAATACAAAATACAACCTTCATGTTTTGGGGTTGCAAATATTGAGAGAAATGAAAAAAGATGTCCCCTTAAAGATTGTGTAAATGTCACACACAGAGAATCACAGCATTCACATGGTTTTATACCAAGACAAAAATAAGGACGTGCCTTCTGAATCTGCTGCGGAGCCAACAGATATGTTTGTTTTGACCGTCAGATAACCAAAACATAAAGTGGAAAATCATTGACCGTCTTAATTACAGCTCAGTTTTAACATAATTGCACCAAAAGTCTCATAAAATATCCATATCTTGACGAAATTTGAATTGTCACTTTTACAAACCACTACAATTATATACAGTACTCATTCTTGTACTCATCATTTTTTTGTTTCTTTGAAGTAAAAAAGTGAGCTTCTCATTTTCTATCAATATTTGGAAACAACCACATTGTAACCATTATTGTATCATGACTTCCGATTCCATTCTTTTGACATTTTAGGACTGGCCTCTCTCTCGTGCAAAAACGTTATGATTGAAGTGTCTTGCCCATTAACAGTAGCTTCTGATTATGAGACAACCACTCATCCAACCGGGCGGCACGGTGGCTGAGTGGATAGCACTCTCGCCTCTCAGCAAGAAGGTCCTGGGTTCGAATCCCGGTTGGACCAGGGCCTTTCTGAGTGGAGTTTGCATGTTCTCCCCGTGTCTGCATAGGTTTCCTCCGGGTGCTCCGGTTTCCCCTAACCCCAAAAATATGTACAATAGGTATGGCATGTGCCTCCTGTACTGGCACCCCCACCCAACAATTGTAAACCGCTTTGAGACTCCGATGTGCAGTGAAAAGGCGGTATATAAATAAACCTTACCTACCTACCACTGAACCCCTCTTCAGTCAATTTTTCCCTTTTTAATCCAATTCTTGTCAAAAAAAACTTGTATCCCTATCTGTGGCGTGTGTTTTTCTTTCCCCTACACACAGATACACTCCTCCTTTGGGAACCCCTGCCACATTAAACCCGACAGACACTGTCGCTCCATTGTGCACTTCATCTCTAATGAAACGATGATGAAGATGATGATGATATTGACTGCCTCATTCCCCCCTCCGCCCCTCCGCCCCTCCGCCCCTCCCCCTACGCCTCCCAACGCTCATACCCCAACATCATTCTATCACTATCTGCTCAAATCTATTACTGGAGCCGAATGAGCAAGTAGAAAATCTGTGGTTTTGTTTCCCTACATGGCGTTATCCTCAGATAAAAGAATCAATTGTACCACTTTAAGTCCTCTAACGCAATTTTAATGCCTTACAATTATCTAAAGAGCCTCCTTGTATTGACCACATGTCCAAAGCCTGACTAATATGGCCACAAAGTTACATTTAAACAGTAACATTAATCGGCTAATGACTTTGGCCATAGACGGACTGTGTAAAGCTCTAATGTGAAGCTTGTTAAAGTTGAAAGGCGGACAGTAAACGTGTCAACAGGACATTTTCTAAAGGAATCGGCTTAGCATGAGTCCCTGAAGCAATTAATTACGCAGTAGCAAATTGAGTGTGTGTGAAGATTTCTATCATGCATGCTAAATGAACACAACAACCTAAAGCGCTTCACAGCTCTAATTGAGGTGGAACCAATGGGCCTGAGCAAGTCTGTTGTGTTGTCCCCGGTTACGACTATAGACTGGTTCAGGCAGGCTTCAGTTTATTACGTGTGGATAGGTACATAACACCATACTCTCAGATTTCTGGTTATTCAAGAGTTATTCAATACTTATTCAAGAGTTTTCATAACTCCACCTCCATCCATCCATCCATTTTCTACCCTTTAATCCATTTCTGGGTCAGGGGGGTGACAGTCAGAGATGCCACCCAAGTCTCATAGCACCAGCCCCTCACTGATCCTCTGCAGGTGGTGAGTCCACAGGAGGGCGGCTGCTCTCTGAGTGTGAGCATAGCCATGATCTTTCAGTGGGGGCTTTGGGCAAAGTGGGGTTAAGTGTCTTGCCCAAGGACACAACGACAGCAGTCATCAGTGGGAGTCGGTGGAGAAGGTGTAGAGGCGGGAATTGAACCCACGACCTTCTGGCCTTAAGGCCAATGCTCTACCAACTGAGCTACTGTCGCCCCTCCACCTGCAATTACATAATATGATTTCTGCCATTTTTCCTCTATCATTTGAAAAAGTATATCTGGCTATATTAGCGGTATCATAGAAACAACTGTACTTCCACAGGAAATCACTGTACCGGTCCATTCTTTTAGCCGCAGAAGTAAAAAAAAAAAAAGAAATGGGCTGAAATCTGAACCACGGAGGATTGGATTAACTTTATGCATCAGATTTATAGCATGGAAGCCTTGTCCCATTTTATTGAAATTTTAACTTTTTTACAAGCTGTGATTTAAATCGACTGGATATGTAAAACCTGTGGGATATGATTTTATGTATCACTGTATTTTAGCTTTTTCCAAAAAAATAACAACAGAAAAAGTTTCATAATAAATAAAGATAGAAAAGGTACCAAGAAGCTCACTTGGAGAGTCACTTTCATAAATGTGTGTTTTTTTTTT